ATGAATATGCCTGTTGTCTTTCCGGCAAAATGAGAAGAAACTCAGAAATGGCCTACTCCCTTGAGTTCTTTATGAAGAACAGAAAGTCCATGCTTTTCTCTGCTTTTCAGCCATTCTCTTTGCCATGTCCTTTGTCTTCGTTTTTTTTTGGGGGGGACGTCACAAGCCGCCTGCTACAAAGAAAACTATTTCTTCCTCAGAATCCATATTTTTATGAATGGCGCGAAACGTAATGCTTACGTCAGAGTTTGTAAAATCGTAGTAAATTCGTGTCGTGTGTGACTGCCTCCGTACGATTTTCGGATAAACTCAATCATGACATGTGCCAGAGCTCACGATGTTCCGACCTGCGGAATCGCACCGTGTACGCCTGCCTTAAAGCGACGGCGAGTCGTGCGCCTTCACACTAGTTTACGGTACGTCAAATACAGGTGCGCTGCGTGCTACATACTGCGCATCCATTGAGTACATGACATGATCCATTGAGCGCATCCAAATAGTACAGATCGCTTGGCGGAGAGCGAAACTCTCAAGCGCTATGCGAGTGATTTACTCGCAATGTAGAGGGTTGGCTTCATTGAATTTTTTCCAATAACAAGCTGAATATATATGCAAATTGAAATGTCATGTAAAAACATGTAATTATCCCAAAGCAAATCAAATGTAATTACTAATGTCTTGTCTATGCCTCGGGTGGAAGGGAACCACAAGTTGGATGCTTCAGGTTTATGTACTGTAAAACTCATCAGCCTGTGCGGCTGTCAAGACAACATCACCGAGTTCATGAGAAATAACAGACATGACAAAACAAACATGTCTAAACATGAAATCCTCTATTCTCAGCACAAAAATATAAACTACTGATGTGCAACTTAACCCTTACAAAAAAAAAAAAGGTTCAGTGGCTGTATCATGGTGCTTTCCAAGTATTCATATATATAGTACACTAACATTCAAAAATTTGTATTATTATTTAAGCTCACAAAGGCTGCATTTTTATTTATAAAAACATTCATATTGTGAAATATTATTACAATTTCAAATAACTGTTTTCTATTTCAGTGAATTTTGAGCAAGCAGATGAAACAATAAATGTTCAATTGTGCGCATAAGTTTTTTATGCGCATTTTTAGAATTTACGCGCATCTTTTTTATGCGATATTCCAAAATGCGCATAAAAATAGGCGGATGGAAACATAGCTAATGTCTTTACTGTCACTTTAAATCAATTTAATGTGTCCTTGCTGAATAAAAGTATATTGATCCCAAACTTTTGAACAGTATTGTAGCATTAACTCAAGGTTCTTCAAAACCAGTGCTTCATAACACCACGGTACATTTTTCGTTGACAGCACAGATAATAGTTTCCTAAGGGCTTCATAGAGGTTGTGTGTTTGTGCTAGACTGTCATTATAGATCTACTTTTATACTTCTCTTCTCCAGTATTGGCAGCACACAGCCAGTGTGCTAAAGTAACGCCATTGGGTAAATTCAAATGTTTTACAGAACAAACTGGTTTGGAAAAAATACTTTAAAATCATACAAATTTTGAGCTCCGGGGTACTCACTAAATGTTTCATCAAATTCATGACTTCTGCATAAACCAGCATCTATAGAAACAACCTACCTTTATAGTAGAAAAGAGATCGATCTGTCAGCACGAACCAGCGCTTGTTCCACTGTTTCATACCACTGCTTGCCTACATTACAGAAAATGAGAAGAAGAAAAAAAAATCAAGGCCTTGAAATACATCTAAGTGCCTAGACGTTTCTGAAAGAGAGTGGCTTAAGTGCGGATTATGGAGTTATGGCTTTGGGCTGTGTGAGTGTTTTTGTTTGTGTGGATGATGGTGAGGTTTAAGGATGAGCAATAGTACCTGTTTGTGAAGCCAACCCTGCCGGGCCACCTCAGCATTGGGGTTGCGTCGCATGGAGTTGGAGCGCTTCCCAAACATGGCGGCTCGCTTGGGTGTGGGTGTGCGCGTGCCCTGGTGGGAGAGTCATGGAGGAGTGTTTACATAATAACACTAACAGTAAACACACACACACACACACACACACATTATGGGTAACAATGACAGTTTCTATTTTAGAAACTAAAATATTTTTAGGTTTTATTAATTAAAATCCAGCTGACATAAAATAAAATTAGAAATGTTAGATGTTATTTCTAATTTAAAAATGAGAAATGTTGCTTTGGTAACTAAATGAAAAAGAATAAGTTGAAGTATAAACATCACTAAAACTGAAATAAAAAATATTAAAGATAACATAGAAATAGGTATATAATCTGGTATATAATATAATATGTGACCCTGGACCACAAAACTAGTCTTAAGTCGCTGGGGTATATTTGTAGCAATAGCCAAAAATACATTGTATGGGTCAAAATTATAGATTTTTCTTTTATGCCAAAAATCATTAGGATATTAAGTAAAGATCATGTTCCATGAAGATATTTTGTAAATTTCCTACTGTAAATATATTAAAACTTAATTTGTGATTAGTAATACGCATTGTTAAGAACTTCATTTGGACAACTTTAAAGGTGATTTTTTTGCACCCTCAGATTCCAGATTTTTCAAATGGTTGTACCTCAGCCAAAATTTAAAAATGTATATTTGTACAACATAAATTATACATAAATATTTAATAAATAAATAAATATATAATACAGGCCCATTAAATAATTTTAACATACAAGAAAAATATTTTATTTTAAAATTCAGATTCAATAATAATTATAATAAAATTAAATAAAATTAAATAATTAAAATATTACAGTATTTATTTGTTAAAGTTAGTTTATAAAAATACAGCTGTTCATTGTTAGTTGATGTTAGCTGAGGTCCATTAAATAATATTAATGAATACAGGAGAAATATTTTATTTAAAAATGCATATTTAATAGAAATTAAAATATTATTAATAACTATATTATTATTAACAGTTTTATCACTACTGTGACTACTACTACTACTACTAACAGTAATAACAAAATTAAAAATGAATAATAAATACTGTCTATTTCTAGAAACGAGTTCATCTACAGCAGCTGTACTGACCCGTGTGCAGTTCTGGGAGTCTGGGGGCATCTCAGAAACAATGCTGAGATTGTTGGCATTGCTGTTTGCTTCACTGACTTTGTTCACGGGCCTCCTGCCACCCGCCTTGCCGTTCATTTCCGAATCAGATCTCCTGTGAGCACACAAACAAAGCCACTGAGCCATCCCAGCTTCTGATACCGTAACAAACTTCTCATCTGCCTGCGTTCAACGCACCAAAGCAGAGAAATCATTTTCAAACCAATATACTGAGCTCAAACTGGTGAAAAACTGAGGGATTATGGGAAGGAAGCACACAGGCATTCGGGGCGCAGCTATTTTTATTCCCAACTGGCACCGTCGCAAGGCCGCACCCCTGAGGTTGCAGTTTAAAAACAGGCCGATGGTTCACGAAGAATGTGATTGGAGTGGCGAAGAGAGAAGGAAAGAGTAAGAATTTGTTGGTGGATGCAGGCCTGCATTCCCAGCTCAATCATATTGATCTCCTTACTGGGACGCCCAGGCCCTCTCCAACAGCCTTCGATCCACCGACCAGCAAGACAGATGAATTTACAATCCCCTAGAGAAGCCCAGAGGCTAAAGCTTCCATCTTGGAAAGCTTGCTACCATCCGCAGTCGTTTATAAGCATACGCAAGTCATTATGAGTCTCTGAAGCAAAGAACATCATATAAACACATATGGAACAGAGCAAGATCGCACAGATCAAATGAGGACATAAAAACACACACAATCATTAGCGCAAAGTGGGAACACGCACACGACAATAACAATTACTACATTAGGACATGATACCCACACTAGAAACATCTCTGTGCTAATTATCTATTCTTTATTTAGCCATCGCTGCAAACAGCAGCTTCCTGCGTCGTATCAGGAAATTAATCAAATGAAATCCTGGAAGCACCTTGGTTTAATGGCATTGCCCTTATTAATGTGCTATTGGCTCTCGACTCAATATTATATCGATCTGGAGGAGAGTGGGATCTTGAGAGAAGTACTGTAAGTGCATTTTCTTTGTCCAGGAGGAATGTTTTAGTAAATTTATAGAGGAAATCAAGGAAATCCTGACATGTTTATCCTGCACGTTATATGACATAGTTCAAGAGTAATTAATAAAATGCTTTCAGGGTAATTTATCCTGACAGTGCTGTTTGTTTGTATTTATTTATGTTTTCGCAGGTGTATAATTACTGTATAGTGGCTATTATACAAAAAGGCAGACAAAACAGGGCTGGTCTGACAGGTAACTGTCTCATTATGGGCGTTCACACTGACATTTGCAGCAACAAAGAGACGGAAGTCAGTTGATGATTTCCACTGACATGAATGACAGTGACCGCTGCGAACACCACGTTTTTAGCAGCAAGTAAACTAATTCCTTGGCCAAATAAAATTACGTTTCATGCTGAATTCTCAGCAGCCATTACTCCAGTCTTCAGAGTCACATGATCTTTCGGAAATCATTCTAATATGCTGATTTGCTGCTCAAGAAACTTTTTAAATCAATGTTGAAGACAGTTGTGCTGCTTAATGTTTTTGCGGAAACTGATTTTTTTCAGGATTTTTCGGATGAATATAAAGTTCAAAAGGACAGCTTTTTTCTTTCTTTTTTTTCTGTAACAAATGTAAAAGTCTTTTGTGTCTTTCAGTGACTTTTCATCAATTTAATATGTCACTGCTGAATTGAACTATTCATTTATTACACTTGCAAATCACTTGTCTTAAAAATGGGGATGGCACTGCAGTGTGTTTAAAAAGAAATCACATACCCTGACTAAAATGATTACAGTTCATGAACCCTTTGGACTAAAGGCATACACTCTTAAAAATAAAGGAGGTTTTTTGCAGTGATGCCATAGAATATCCATTTTAGGTTTCTCAAAGAACCTTTCAGTCAACAGTTCTTAAAAGAACTTTTTTTTTGTGTGTGAAAAACATTTTATAATCTAAAGAACCCTTTTCCACTATAAAGAACCTTTTGTGGAATGAAAAGCTTCCATTGATATTAAAGGTTCTTCATGGAACCATCAATGCCTGTAAAGAACCTTAATTTGTAAGAGTATAATTGTAGTCAATTTTGAAGGAAGATTCTTGGTGAGCTTGTTTTCAGAAATAATTAAGCATGCATCCAAGCTGAAATACTTTTTATGATAAGCTCTTATTCAACATGTCACAGATTTAGCAAAGGGAGTATAAAGCTAGCAGCATATTTACAAATGAATAAACAAAAGATCACTCACAGCAAGGGTTTCAAAGGTCCGTTCTCTTCAAGGTGTGTCTGGATCACTTGCTGGTGTCCAGCTGTTCCATTAGGGTCATTTTGACTGAGAAGAAAATAAAAGCCACTTAGGATTTCACTGACAAACACATTTCAATAAAGCCACAACAATCTTTTTAATAAACGGTGTCTGGTAGAATATCAAGCCAACAGCAGCTGGAACTGATTTTTCATTTGTTTAAGATGCTCCACGACTTGTTCTAGTGGCTTCAAACCTGTTTCACAGCAGCCACATCCCTTCTTTATTAATAATTCAGCATTACAACATCAGATCCGATCAATACATGGCCACTTTCTTTGTAAGTCCATATGAGACAACTGCTGTGGAAATTAATGGCTGTCAGCCCTCGTGAAAGAGCCTGTTAAGTGTTGACTGCTTTGCGCTCAATGGCAAAATATCAACAAGAACATGTCAGAGTTCATATACACCTATTATATTGACTCTGTATTCAGAGAAAACATATCTTTTGTCCATATGCAACGCCTGAAGCCTGCATTGAGTTCAACTTCCTGTCACAATTTCTCTGACCTCGGCTCGTGTATACTCCCTGTGGATGTACACTTGTAACTCGCCTCTCGGGTGTAAATCCTACAAGTGTTTTCATTGCTGCCTGTCACTTTCCTGGCTATTGATTTTACAAGAGGCGAGCAAGCAAATACTTTTTCTCTGTTTTCTGTGAGGGCTTGGTTAACCTGTTTTACCCAGAGATCTATGGATGCACAGACATCAAAACTAGCATTTAGAGGACATCCAGGCCATAAGATATAATTTTAGTCATTTTACAGTTAGAGTAAAGTGAAATTTAGACTTGTTTTGCTACAGGAAGCAGATTTTGCTTTGGACTAGTGCAGTGTTGTTAATGTGAACTAAAACTAAACTATTAAAATTATTTTTGTTAATTGAAATAAAGCTGAAATTAAATACAATTTAAATATGAGATGAACAAAAGAAATTAAAAAAGTAGCTGGAAAATTATAAACAAACTAACTGAAAATAAAATCAGCTTATGTTGTACAAAAATGACAAACACTAAAACTGAAATAAAAACAGAGTTAAATAGTAATATTTAAAAACGAATTATAAAAATTACAAAAACATAACACAATTACAAAAACTTAAAGCAAAATGAAAATATATTAATAAAAGCTAATTCAACGTATTAAAAAAATACTATAATAGCATATAAATAGTACCAAATTAGCAAATGGTGACCCAACACAGCACTAAAAATATTTGAGAATGAAACCTATCCATGCTGGCCTTGCACACCGACATCAATTTATATAGTAAACATTTTCTTCTTCCTTATAAAAGTTTATAAGCCTATTTATTATGCTACTCTAATGATGCAGAATTACAGCATATGGCTAATTGCATTTTATTATTTGCATAATTTAGCAATTATTTTTCCCTGTTGTCTTCAAGTCAAGGTAAATTTAAACAAATGAAGACAATAAATATAATGCATTTAATGTTATAACTGTGAAATATAGTGAGCTTCACATGATGATAATAATCAACTAGCTAGAGTTAAATCCATATTTAAACCAAATATGATTGCTAAGCTAAAATGACCCAATGACCTCTATAAGACTTTTCACACTATGCTTATCCTGGGGTTAAAACTTTTGTTCTAACTTGATTCAAAGTTCTAAATGTCTACATTTACACAACTGGGAGATGTTTTTTGTCCAGAACAACATTAACTACATTTCATCAGTTTTTGCAGTTGCTAGCTGCTGTTTGAGCTACATGTCTATACTGTCAAGGTGCTAGCATGTTACAGCAATTAGTTAACAACCAACAACCAATCTTAAACTAAACAAATCTTCCTGCATGAAATATTCATGTACAGTTGCATAAACGTTCACGCTCTGTTTAATTTCATTAACAGAGAAAAGGTTAAAAACCTAGCCAACAGTACAGGTCCATCTCAATAAATTAGAATGTTGGGAAAAGTTCAATTATTTCTGTAATTCAACTCAAATTGTGAAACTAGTGTATTAAATAAATTCAATGCACACAGACTGAAGTAGTTTAAGTCTTTGGTTCTTTTAATTGTGATGATTTTGGCTCACATTTAACAAAACCCACCAATTCACTATCTCAACAAATTAGAATATGGTGACATGCCAATCAGCTAATCAACTCAAAACACCTGCAAAGCTTTCCTGAGCCTTCAAAATGGTCTCCCAGTTTGGTTCACTAGCCTACACAATCATGGGGAAGACTGCTGAGCTGACAGTTGTCCAGAAGACAATCATTGACACCCTTCACAAAGAGGGTAAGCCACAAACATTCATTGACAAAGAAGCTGGCTGTTCACAGAGTACTGTATCCAAGCATGTTAACAGAAAGTTGAGTGGAAGGAAAAAGTGTGGAAGAAAAAGATGCACAACCAACCGAGAGAACCGCAGCCTTATGAGGACTGTCAAGCAAAATCGATTCAAGAATTTGAGTGAACTTCACAAGGAATGGACTGAGGCTGGGGTCAAGGCATCAAGAGCCACCACACACAGACGTGTCAAGGAATTTGACTACAGTTGTCGTATTCCTCTTGTTAAGCCACTCCTGAACCACAGACAACGTCAGAGGCGTCTTACCTGGGCTAAGGAGAAGAAGAACTGGACTGTTGCCCAGTGGTCCAAAGTCCTCTTTTCAGATGAGAGCAAGTTTTGTATTTCATTTGGAAACCAAGGTCCTAGAGTCTGGAGGAAGGGTGGAGAAGCTCATAGCCCAAGTTGCTTGAAGTCCAGTGTTAAGTTTCCACAGTCTGTGATGATTTGGGGTGCAATGTCATCTGCTGGTGTTGGTCCATTGTGTTTTTTGAAAACCAACATCACTGCACCCGTTTACCAAGAAATTGTGGAGCACTTCATGCTTCCTTCTGCTGACCAGCTTTTTGAAGATGCTGATTTCATTTTCCAGCAGGATTTGGCACCTGCCCACACTGCCAAAAGCACCAAAAGTTGGTTAAATGACCATGGTGTTGGTGTGCTTGACTGGCCAGCAAACTCACCAGACCTGAACCCCATAGAGAATCTATGGGCTATTGTCAAGAGGAAAATGAGAAACAAGAGACCAAAAAAATGCAGATGAGCTGAAGGCCACTGTCAAAGAAACCTGGGCTTCCATACCACCCCAGCAGTGCCACAAACTGATCACCTCCACGCCACGCCGAATTGAGGCAGTAATTAAAGCAAAAAGAGCCCCTACCAAGTATTGAGTACATGTACAGTAAATGAACATACTTTCCAGAAGGCCAACAATTCACTAAAAAAATTTTTTTATTGGTCTTATGAAGTATTCAAATTTGTTGAGATAGTGAATTGGTGGGTTTTTGTTAAATGTGAACCAAAATCATCACAATTAAAAGAACCAAAGACTTAAACTACTTCAGTCTGTGTGCATTGAATTTATTTAATACACAAGTTTCACAATTTGAGTTGAATTACTGAAATAAATGAACTTTTACACGACATTCTAATTTATTGAGATGCACCTGTACTAGCAAATTTAGGAGGCAACAATTCCACACGTGTACAAGTCACATACTTCATTTGTCCTTTTAAATATGCAAGTAAGAAACTTAACCCCTAAGTTTACACATTTGGAATCTCAAATCCTGACTACCCCAAATCAATGTGTTAACCAAAGGCTAAAAATGATTCTCAGTTAACCATTTCTTGGATCTCCTGTAAAGACACTAGACTTGAGGTCCTTCTATTCATCTTGCTCTCTTCAGTTTATTGTTATTCCTACATACAGCAGACTCACCTCTTCAGTGTTGTATAAGTGGGCCATAGAAGTGAGCTCAAACAACATGCCAAATTCTTGGCGTCAACCACTTAAGGACAACACAAACAGAACTCAAAGTCTGTGCAGTCTCTGTATACACACAGACATGCGGCCTGATAGGTCGAGGACAAGAAGCACAAGCCAAGAATACACTCATGCCGAAGGCATCTACCTCTTGACACCAAAAAGGTACACATAACAGAGCCCAGCGCTCCATAAAACACTAGAGGATAAATCTAGCACAACAGCCTAGCCACCGAAATCAGGTTGAGGTGTGTGAGCGCACATGTGCATGCTCCGATGTGGTCTTGCAACTGATCGCGCGCGCTCGTGTGTAACCTATAAACCTACATAGAGGCACACAACATTTATCCGCTCATAAACATCGCTAATATGACCACTAATCAATGCTGGAGTCTTTAGCAAGCAAGAAATGATTTAACAGCATCGGAACAGAGCATATAAAGGCGTCCTCACTGGAATCCAGGAAGGACACACGAGGCAACGCAAACTTCACACGAATAAACCTCAATATCTCATAAAGATAGTTCACGAGAAAGCTGGCACTGCATTGCAGTCCTGCCTGACCTCCAGCTCAGAGTTTCCCTTCACACCGCTGTCTGACTCGCTCCCAACATCCCGCCTTACCTACCTCACTCTCCGGTCCGCGCGGAACTTCAGCATTTTCCCCCGGATCAATCATATAAGTCAGTGGGATGAGGCCAGGTTGAGAGAAGAGCAGGTTTGTGACGCCGACAGCAGCAGGAGCTATAGGGTGTTGGATACAATAATTGCTGTCCTCTTTTCTCTCCTTGAGCATGTGTGCTGTTGCCAGCCAGCTTCACACACTCTCTCTCTTTCTCCCTCACTGGCTCAACCTCTATATCTCATTCTGGCTCTCTTGCCTTCTAGATCTGCTCGGCTCAGCTTATTTGGTTACTGGTTTCGTCCGACTCTCTCTCTCTCTCTTCCTCACACACACGTGGGGCCTCCTATCACAAATCAGATTGAGATGTAGATGCTACCCCCCCAAAGCCTAACCGAGGAGGAGTCATGACCAGAACTCCTCTGGGACGTCCATGACAGCTTTGGCTGTGGTGACGGGGAGTGGCTGAGGCAAAAAACAAAAGACATTACCCACTCAGGTATACGGCTTTGCATCTGCACCAGCCCCTTGTCAAACCTTACCCAGAGACGCACACATCACGCCCACACAGAAATAATTAGATCTGTATCTCACACAGAGA